AAGAATCAAATAAGTGCTTTGGGCAATTTGAAGAAGAGTGGTTGTTTTGTATGTAAGAAGGCAAATCCTTTGATTTCTCTGCCTCACTTAACCTCTTTCAGCAAACCCAGGGCCTGCAGGCCAGCCTGAACTCAGAAGATGCCATTATCATTTAAGTAGGCTCCCAGCAGGGGGCTGAGCGGGGCCTTAAATCTGCCATCCACCCCTCCACTCTGAGCCCTGCTTTGTCTGTCTGGGAAGGAGACAACTTTTTCTTAGTCACACAAAGGGCTAAAGGGGTACCTTTTTCTATTTGTGCAAAGATACCTTATGCGTTAGTGATGGGAGCTTTCTGGGGACACTGACCAGAGAGCTGAGATATTTAAAAGAAGCCCCTGTATCCAGTCAAAAGCTGAGTGAGACTCTAGTACCCCTCAGGGTGGTTTATAAGGAGACCCAAGGCTCCCTGAGTGGTGGCCCCCTTGTTCTGAGTTCAAGCCTAGTTGTTGCCAACTCCCTGCTCAACGCTCAGGGAACTGGCTGCCCTAGACCCCTTGCCTGCCCTCCTTCCCACCAGTCCCATGGGTTACCTTCCAAGTGTGACTTCAGGAGCCCTAGAATGAGTCCAGTGGTTGTAAATCAGGCTGTAGGCTCAAGTGCAAGAAAAGTTACGCTTCCTTCTTTTCATTAAATCAACAGCAGTTGGTCTCCGAGCCCGCTTCCCTCCACACTGGCAGAAAATTCATCTTGGTAGTTATTTTGATGCCCTCTTCCTCCTTGAGGTGACCCAGGGCCTGAACACGGATGGGGCTTTAGTCCTTTTTTTTTTTAATTGAAGTATAGATGATTTACAATATTGTGTTGGTTTCAGGTATACAACATAGTAATTTGATTTTTTTTGCAGATTACATTCCATTATAGATTATTACAAGATACTGGGTATAATTCTCTGTGCTATACAGCAAATCCTTGTTGCTAATCTATTTCGTGTATAGTCGTTTGTATTTGTTAATCCCATATTCCTAATTTTTCCCTCCCCTCCTCCCTCTTCCCCCTGGTAACCATAAATTTGTTTTCTGTTTGTGAGTCTGTTTCTGCTTTGCAAATAAATTAATTTGTATTATTTTTTAGATTCCACATATAAGTGATATCATACAGTATTTGTCTTTCTCTGACGTTTAACTAAGCATAGTATTCTCTAGGTTTAAGAAGCTAAAAGACAGAAGCTAATAGACATCTGATATTTACTGAACCCAAGTAAATGTCCCTGGACTTCATGTCTGAATACCGGCTTCCTCCTGCACCCTTTGACACTTTTGGTACCCAGTAGCCTCTCTGCTGCCCTACTTGGGCCCTCCTTCCTTCTCTTATAGGTGCTTCCCCAGCCTTTCCATTATCCCCTCTAGGAGGTCAGAGGACAAAAGCCTGGAGGTGGCTGTCTTCAAGAAGCTGTGGCCTTCCAGCTGGACACATCTTTCCCCAAGGGAGGGCATCTTTGCTACCTGCTTAGATCAGGGTTTTAAAAAAACATATAAGGAGAGCACAAATTAACACCTCAATGATTCCCCAGCCACAGTCTATTTAATTCCTCCCTATCACTAGTTACTAACTCCCTAGCGTAGAGCCTCACCTCTTTTCACCAGGACTTCTCTGCCTTGCTGGTCTCCCAGAATACCTATCTTCCACAGTGCCAGTGTAATCTTTCTAATTGGGTTGCATGTCTGCCCTAGTTAAGACTCTTCCATGGCTCCTGCCTGCTCCCCCGGCTCAGAACCACAAGCCCCAATATCACCCAACACAGCTTCCTGGGATGTTTCAGCATTTTTGTCTTATCAGCGGTTGCTTCTTCTGCCTGGGCTACCCTCCTCCCCACTTTCCCCTTCTTCTGGCTAACTCTTACTTGTACAAGTTTACCTCATTTTATTACACTACACTTTATTGCACTTTGTAGATAATGAATTGCTTACACATTGGTTTTTGGCAACCCTGTGTCAAGCAAGTGTATTGGTTCTATTTTTCCAACAGCATTTGCAGATTTCATATCTCCGTGTCATATTTTGATAATTCTCACAATATTTCAAACTTTTTCATTATTATTGTATTTGTTAAAGTGATCAGTGATAATAAGTGATCTTTGATGTTATTATTGTAATTGTTTGGGGGCACCATGAACCATGCCCATGTAAGACAGTTAACTTAATAAATATGTGTGTTCTGACTGCTCCACCAACCAGCTGTTTCCCCATCTCTTTTCCTCTCCTTCGGCCTCCCTATTCTCTGAGACACAACAATACTGAACACAGCATCACCAAGGAGATGGGCAGACCACCTAAGCCACCTCTCTGGCCCACTGATCCACCCCTACACTCACCCCATTTAAGGAGCGAGCCTGCTCTGCTTGGAGACCAAGCAAGGAAAGGCACCTGTTTCTTGTTTTTGCTCCCAGATGCTGCAGCACAAGTTCCAATGAAGCTTTGCCTGAATTTCTCGTCTGGCCTCTTATCAATTTCTATTGATTAATGAGTCCCAGGACCTGGGTCAGAAACACTATTTTTTTTTTTAGATCTGCTATAATATTATGATTGTGTTAGAAAAAAAGAGTCCTTATCTTTTAGAGATATATACTAAGGTGTTTGTGGGCAAAATGATATGATCTCAGGAATTTACTTTAAAATAATCCATGGGCAATGGAGTCAGGGTACAGATGAAGTAAGATTGGCCGTGAGTTCATAACTGCTGTCACTGGAGGATGGTTATTGGGGGTTCATTACACTAGTCTCTCTACTTCTGTTTATGTCTGCCAATTTCTATAATGAAAGAAGAGATGAAGCCATGTCACCTCCTAGAAGCCCTCTCACTTTCTTTGGAGGGTTAGATTCCCCTCTCCCAGCTTGTCAAGCCACCTAACACACTGAACTGCAGGCCAGTGGTTTACCTCTTCCTCTTGAGAGCAAGGGCAGCCCTGGGTCCCTTCCGTCTCCCTGGGACATGGTTCCCGGCATAAATGAATGGATGACTCTTAGTCTTGGTTCATTTGTGGTCAAGCATCTCAATCACCAACTAGCAGTTAAATTCCTTTGACGGCAAAGGCCTGATGTTTCACACATGTCTGTTTGTTCCTTTGGGGTGGGGCCACATGAAAACTCCAAAAGCAGCTATTTGCCTGTCAGTGACTGGGGCTGGGTGAGTTTCCTGGAGAATAAAGTCTCCGGCTGGGCCGACACGCTCTGAGGAACTGGCAGGACAGGTGCTGCTTCCCACTTCAGAGTCCAAAGGCCTGGCTGGTGTGGCTTATTGGGCAAATCTTGCTCACACCCCGCCGGGCAAAGGAAGAAAACCAGAGGAGCCAGATGCCTCAGGTGACTGGGGACAGCTGGTGACAGGACGGGAGGTACTGCTCTGGCACGTGGCCACCAACACCTAGTTAGGAAGTCCGTGACTCCAACAACAGCTCTGGGAGAACCCGATGGCTCCCGTGAGGCAAGCCCCAAGGATGAGGCTGCCCAAGCTGCTGATTTTCCTGGCTTACTGGGCAGTCGCCAGGGCTGGAACAGGTAGGCACTGCGAATGCCTGTGATAGCTCTGTTTTGTACTATGAACTCAGGATAGAGGGCTGCTGGTAGCTGCTCACAGAAAGCTGAAAATGTGCTAAAAATAGCAAGGCAGGGAGCTAGGTCAGGGAGGCTGGGTAAGAGAGTGAGGGTCTGCTTGATCCTGATGATTTTAAGAGGAGGTGACAGCTGGCCAGGGGAGGGACACTGACCTTGCCAAGAGGTGTGTGTACGTAAGAGCCAGCCAGCTGGTAGAGGTAGGAGGTGGCAGGCAGATTCATGAATTCACTCCACAACTGTTGGTTGAGGGCCTTGACATATCACGCATTAGTCTTTGAACCAGAGATGGGCAGAAAAGAAAAGAAAAAAATCTCAGTCCTGGTGAAGCATTTCCTCACCTGGGGAGAAACAGAACAAAAGGCCCATGAGCAAGGAAATAATATTCCAGGAGATAACAAGTGTTATGGAGACTAAATAATAAAGCAGAATCAAGGAGCAGAGAGGATGGGCGGGACACTTGTGGAGCAGCCAGAGAAGTGCTGTTTAATAAAGTGACATCTGAGTAGACACCTAAGGCAGCGAGGGAGAGAGCCATGTGGACATCCCAGAGAAGAACATTCCAGTAAGAGAAGATGGAAAGTGCACAGGCCCTGAGCGGGACACACAGGTCATGTGTGTAAACAAGAGCAAGGAGGCCAGCGTGGCTGGAGCAAGGAGGGTAGGGATGTCAGGGGATCACGGGGCCGGGAGGGCATTGGGTGGGGAGGAAGGAGGCAGGCAGGCCAGGTCGTGGATAATCATGTAGGCAATTTTAAGAACTCAGAGTGAAATGGGACATCATTCGAGGGTTTGGGACAGAGCAGTGATGAGATCTGACTTGTGTGAGTTTAAAAGGGGAGGGTATAACTCAGTGGTAAATGCCTAGCATGCATGGGGTCCTGGGTTCAATCCCCAGCACCTCCACTAGACATAAACAAACAAACCCAATTACCTCCTCATCAACAAATTTTTTAAAAATTAAAGATAAATAAAAATGAATAAGTTTTTTCAATGTGTCTGGGGGTGGAGGTATAGCTCAGCGTTAGATCCCACGCGTGGCATACACAAGGTCTGAGGGGTCTATTTTAAAAATCCCCTTGGCCTGTGATGGGGTAAAGATTGGATGACCAAGATGTCTGAGTCTGTGGTTTTAGCACTTGAAGTTGGGCACCCTGAGTTCTGGGATGGCTGCTCACCCTGGTAAAAGAGAAGCAGCAAAACCAGTGAGGTGGCTACTGCCCTCATCCCGGGAGAGAAGGGGCGGTGGGAGCGGGGGTGGTGGGAGATGGTCTGATTGGAGAAACAAGACTTGCTGACAGATGGTGGGTGTGAGTGAAGGAGGACTTAGAGGTTTTTAGTCTCAGCAGCTGGAAGGACAGAGGTATCATTTGCTGAGATACTGGAGGAGGAGATGGCAGTTTGATTTGGCTTGTGTCCAGTTCAAGATGCCTGTTAGATTTCTGTGTGGTTAGAGAGGAAGACTGGACCTGTAGTTTTCCTTAGGAGTCTAGATTGCCCCTTTCTGGAGGCCTTTGAATGAGACCTTAGAGATGACTCAACACCCTTCCTGAAGCTGCAGAAATGGGCAGAGAAAGGAAGAAAAGGCTCGGGGTCTGCTCGTTGCCAGCCCCGGTGCTGCTCAGTTCTCCCAGGCTAGAGCAAAGGGTCGGTGGCCTCTCAAGTGTTCGTCCAGTCAGTCCACTTCCTCAGACAGTTCCCAGGAGCAGCTGACCTTGACAAGAACTCTGCTGGCTGTGCATCTCAGAGGCCAGTGAGGAGGGACACTGGTGTCTGCAGGGCCAGGGAAAGGCCTGGAAAGGACTTGTATCTAAAAGCTGTGACTGAAAGGTGGAAACACCTCTGGGACCAGCCCTGACAGGATGTGTCATTCCCTGTGAGGGTGACTGACTGTTCACCTGGACAGAGACCCAGTTCCCCTCTGGGGGACTCAGGGCCCTGCTGGGCTGACCAGAGACTTGGGAATGATTGAAAGAATCTCCACCCACCACCCCCACTCTTTCACTTTTAAATATGTTTTCTTAGAAATCCAGATACCAGTGGGCACCCCTTTCCCAGGCCCAGGGTCTTAGTGGTTAAAAAGAATCTCCTCTGCCCCCAAAGGCACTAAGACGTTCACTGCAGCATTGTTTATGATAATGGAAAATGCTAACAATAGAACAGCTGAATAGATTGTGGTAAAACCACCAGGCAGGTAAGTTTCAGGATAATATAGCAAAATTGAAAATATTAAGTAATATTTATTAAGTACTTATTATGTGGCAGGCACTACTAAAATTTTCACATTATACCCTCACAACTGCCTTGTGAAGTAGGGATTATCAACGAGGAAACCCAGCCTTAGAGAAAAATAACCCAAGGTTACACATCTAGTAAGTGTCTGAGCCTGGATGTGAACCCAGGCTATATATCTTCAATCTGTTTATAAAATAATGTCATGTGAAAATGAACACTAAGGAAAATAGCCAAGAAGGGCTAACATTTATTTTCTGAGCACTTATGATACACCATGCTTGTGCTAGGTCCTTGACATAGGCTATCCTTTTAAAACCTATTTGTCCAATGATTTTGATGTTTAAGCTGTGGTACATGTATACAATGGAATACTACTCAGCCATAAAAAGGAATAAAATAATGCCATTTGTAGCAACATGGATGGACCCGGAGGTTGTCATTCTAAGTGAAGTAAGCCACAAAGAGAAAGAAAAATATCATATGATACCACTTACATTTGGAATCTAAAGAAAGAAAGAAGAAAGAAAGAAAGAAAGAAAGAAAGAAAGAAAGAAAGAAAGAAAGAAAGAAAGAAAGAAAGAAAGAAAGAAAGAAAGAAAGAAAAAAGAAAAGATACTAATGAATTTATCTGCAAAACAGAAATAGACTCACAGACATAGTAAACAAACTTATGGTTACCAGGGGGAAAGGGGGTAGGGAGGGATAAATTGGGAGTTCAAGATGGGCAAATACTAACTATTATATATAAAATAGATAAACAAATTTCTTCTGTATAGCACTCAGAACTATATTCAAATATCTTATAGTAACCTATAATGAAAAAGAATATGAAAACAAATATATGTATGACCAGAAAAAAAAATGATGGCAATACTATAGGAAAAAAAAAGTATTTGGGAAATGCATGAAAAAATCCTTTGATTTTTATAGTCCCTGTAAAGTAGCTACTATTACACTTATATCCATTTTGCCAATGAGGAAAATGAGACTCAGAGGGGGCACAATGCCTGCCGAAGATCCCACAGCTAGGAAGTGGCAGGACCAAGTCTTAGCTGCCTTATCCTTCATGCCTTTCAATGGGATGGTGGGTTTTTTTTTTTTTTCAACTCTTTAAAAATTTTTTATTTATTTACTTTTTCCCCTTAAATGGAGGCACTGGGGATTGAACCTAGGACCTTGTGCATGCCAAGCACACACCCTACCACTGAGCTATACCCCACCCCATGGTGGGTTTTATAGGTACTACTTTTTACTCTTTTCTCCAAACTTTCTGGTATGTATACATCTATAATCTAAAAATGAAATTAAATTTGAAAAAATTCCACAGCACCTGTAAGTTTTTTCAGAATCCTAGTCTCTTCCTGAAGGGCCAATCTTTGAGACACCCAATGAGAGAGCAATCATCCCCACTTTGCATAAAACGGTGGAGTTTCTCTGCCACCTTCCTTAGCCCACCTGAGCTTGGGTGGGGTGTCAACTTGCTGACTCTGTCTCCTCCCGCACAAACCCTGGGCAACACTGCATTTATCCCTCAGCTTCTAATTGCAGAGAAACCCACTAGTTCTCCCAGTGCAGGTTAGCAAGGCCGGGAAACAGTTCTCTGGAGAACGGTAAGCCAGCCTCATGGAGTGGCTGTGAAGAGAGGGCGATCCATGCACTTAACACAAGGGGTCAGTAAATGTTGCTTTTCACCCTCTGTGTATACAGAAGAGGAATCATGACTGAAGTGTTTGGGGTTATTGCTTAGCGTCTAAAACAAAGGACTGAAGCGGGAACCAAGTTTGCTTTGTAGTGGGTTACACACATAACAGACAAAAGTCATGGAATCAGAGGCCGTTTCAAGTGGCAGGGCCTTCGATAAACTTTGTGCAATACTCTCACCTTACACTTGAGGAAATAGGCTCCAGAAGAGATGAAAAAGTGGGGCCAGAAGTGAAGGAGCCCAGGGGTTAAGCACTCAGGCTGTCTTGCCCACCCCTCAGCTAAGTGCTCCCTATGCAATTACTCCTTTCATCCATACACCCACTTCTTTGCTACTTAGCATCCTTATCCCCATTTGGCAGAAGAAGAAACTGAGGCTCAGCTGAGGAAATACCTTGTTCAAGTTGCCATCACCTGTGAGGGGAAGCCAGGATTCAAAACAAGATTTCTCTGACTCCAAATTTCATGCATGCCCTTTCAAAACCAATCCACTGCCTGCAGCCAGAAAACCTAGATCCTACCTTTAATATCTATGTGACCTTGAGCCTCAATTTCACTATCTATAAAATAAGGACAATAGCAGAGAGATTAAATGATAGTTAAATGAGATCATGCACCTACGTTGTAACGTGCTGTTAAAGTTTCAGGGACTTTTTTTTTTAATATATCCAAGGTCACACTACCAAAGTTCACTTTGATCATTTCTGTTCTGATACACTCTGTTCTGTTCACTCTCTTATTTAATGAATCACAGGTCTATCACTAACTAGCTCAGTTTCCTCATCTGTAAAATGGGTACAGTATCAGAGTGTATTTCATAATTTCATTGTGAAGCTACATGCGCAGAGGGCTTAGCACAGCATCTGACTGACATTCAGAAGGCACTAAATAAATGGCAGGTGTCACTCTCCTGTCTCTTTTTCTTGTCTCTGACCATAAGCTAACTCACCTTTCAGCCACTTTAAGACCTTCTTAGTCTCTAGGAATGATTTTTGCAAGTCTCCTCCACCCCATTATGAATCAATCATGAATGTAAAATCATGAATGTAAAAGGATCTCACATTACACATGATTTTTAATGATGTTTTTAATATTGCTTTTGAAATGAATTATTGATTTTGATGACATAGTTTTTGCTTTTGTTTTTTGGAGCCAATGCATTTTTTTTTCAGGTCTCAGACATTTCTCTGGGCCTTACAAAGCTACTAGGCCATGGGCCCTGGGTCTGTTGTCCCCAGTGGACAAGTTTGGACTGGTGGCCCCTTTGGTGAAGGAGGAAGAGGGCCAGGAGACCTGCTTTGCCTGCCCAGGCACAGGGAGCAGAGTTGAGCTCTCAGAATTAAAACTAGAGGGTACGCTGTGCCCACTGGCCCTCTGCTCAAGGAGGACCACCCGGGAAGGGACAATGTCTGTCTTCACGTTGTTTTGCTTCAATTTCTGGCTCCAGACCTGCACTTTACCTGCAGAAGACAGCAGCTAAGGGGACGCTGAGGCCGGTGGGGGAAGGACACAGCCACTCCCCTTGTCCCATTTCCCTGCTGTGGTGAAAGGGGACTTTCCGGAAGCTCCAGGGACCAAACTCAGAGTGACTGTTGAGTGTTCATGCGTTATCTCATATGCTCTCATTTTAATCCTCACAATAACCATAAAAGGTAGGGGGCGCTGTTGTTCCCATTTTATAGATGAGGAAACAGGCAGAGTCAGTTGCCAGTGTTCACCCAGCTAGTGGGCAGTGGAGCTGTAATTCCAACCCAGGTCTGTGTCCTCAATTTCTCACTGCACTTGATGCCAAATTTATCTGTAGTCTCAATAATTAACGAGTAATAATAGCGGCTAAGATTTATATACCTTTTCTTAAAACTCAAGGATTACATGAATACTTTCTTACTGTAAAAGACCCAAGTAGTAGGATCCAAGTAGAAAAATTCTTAATTTTCATGAGATACCCCCCAGCCTCCCCGGTGAGGGGTCTGCACAGTAATGTTTAAGAAGCTCTGGTCCAAAGGACAAAGTGTTCCAGTGTCCAACTCCCCACACCCTCCCAGTCTCACACCTGGCCCCGGGGGTAATTGCCAGGGACAGTTGTGGTGTACTGAGATTCTTCTGGACAAGCCCTTTCTTGTTCACTCTCTTATTTGATGCTCACAGAGATACAGGCCAAATGTCAAACACCCTCGGGCCTGCTGGCTTGCCCAGAGTCCTCAGCCAACACATGGAAGAGCCTGGATTAGAAACTCAATTACTTGCCTCCATATCCTTGTGCCCACTCTCTTCTCCATGAGTGATAATTAGAGCTCAATTCCTCACAGCCTGTGACTAATTCCATAGAAGCCTGTGGCTCCCATCTTTGATGGGTAACATAAATGTGTTATAAAAGCCACCTTCTGGGGGCTCTGAGTCAACATCGTGTCTCAACTGTGCAGTGAGAGAAGGTGGGTTTGAGCCTCAGTTTCCTTGTCTGTGAAATGGGCATACGAATGCCACCTCACGGAATGGCTGCAAGGATGAAATGAGGGAAGCACATGAAGGGCACCAGGCCTAACATTCTTTGAGTGCTTACCAGTCTAATCAGCCTCTGCACAGCCTCACTCATGCATCAAATATGTATTTGGGCATCTTCCACATCCCCGGCACTGTTCTGGGTGCCGAGGACACAGAGAAGAAGACAGGCTTTGTGCTCTCATGGGACTAACACTGTAGACATGGAAGATGGCAGATAAGCAAGCCAACAAGATAATTTCATATATGAGAGTATGCTGAAGAAATGAAACTGGGAGAGTCAGAGAGCTAGTGACCAGCTGGGTGGGAGGAAGTGGAGCTTGAGAAAAAGTAGTTAGGGAAGGCTTCTCTGAGGAGGTGACCTTCAGGCTGAGGCCTGAATGAAGAGAACAAAGGAGGACCAGGGAAGAGGCCCTATGAGGAGGCACGAGTGGGCTGGGTTGGGCCAAGCAGCAGATGAGGTGTCTGTGATCAGCCTCCACAAAGAGGAGACCGGAGCCTGAGGTGGAGCCCTGCATGGACCTGAGGCTCTGCCTGCCACTCTTCCCACTCTCCTGAAGTCAGGCCTTTGAGGTCACGGGCACGCACGTATGTACACGCACACACACATACACATACACATACGCTCTTAGCTCTTTGGAAGTGCGGGGGAGGCTGGAAGGAGTTTCAGTTCTACACACAATTCTAATCTGGAACTTGAAGGAAGAGACAAAGCAACAGCTGACCTTGCCTCCGACAAAGAGTTTCTGGAGAAGTGTTCATTGACTACTTTGAAGGCTGACGTCAAAGGGGCAGAATGGCTCAGTGCTTATGGCTAGTTGAGAAAGCATCTGCTAGACGCCGGAGAATGGTCTCTGCATGGTCTGCAGAGGAAGCAAGGGGCTCATGTGTCAGAGAGAAGGGCCAGCCTGGCCTCAGGCTTGGAAGCAGGTATGACCTGTCTCTGTGCAGGGGCTTGGGAGAGCCCACCAACTCGGCCCATCTACTAGTTGAAATGAGACCATTAGTTTCTTCCCTCTGGCTTGGGATTTTGCCCCTGTAGGAGTAATTTCAAATATATTAGTGACCACAATTTGTGTGAAAAGTTTAAATTCCCCTCATTATAAACAAAGACTCTCGATTTGGGGGAAAATATTAAAATGCAGGCAGAGACTATTTACAAAAAGCATAGTTGAAAAGGCAGTGGTTTTACCCCCTTAGCAATCACATCTTCCTAAGAGAAGACCAGGAGCCAGAGGATGCCCACCATTTCCCATGTGATCTCAAGCATCTTGACCTCTGAACCTTAGTTTCCTTATCTGCACAATGGGGATAATGTTCAGTCCCTCCAGGGCTGTGGTGAGGATGTCTATGTGATGACCATGGGAAGGATGATGATTTGCTAAATCAGTCATTTGCACCTTAGTATGAACTAGTTTCTGATCCTTTCCTGAGACCAGGTTTAGATCAGGAGAGGTGAACAAAAGCTCAGAAGCATCTGGGAGGAAAAGTCAAAGAGTGAGGTGAGGGGCCAGATTTTACCTTCAGGCCTTAGAGCCACACAGAATGTCCTGTGACTGGGGGCAGGCTGGGATTTGAGGGGAGGAATGGCAGCTATCCAACCCTGAAAGCCACAGAAGCCAGGCCTCCCAGGCCAAGCCTCATTTTCCTGGGTGTTGATTGTGGACTCTGAGTCTGAGTAATACAGGAAGAGGAAGAGAAAGTGACAACAATTGTGAAAAGTGAGGAAATTCTGGGCCTCACCCTTGTTTTAACCAGAAACAAGACTCTAGGCCAGAGGCCAAACCTGTTCAACCCTCCTTCAATAAGCATCTTTGAAACCACTTATTCCAGGCCCTGTGCTGGGTGCACATGATTAATCCACTCCGTGTGGCCGATTTCTTCGGATTCCCTTCTCTGTTTGCACCAAAAGATTTTTGGCATTTCACCCCACATCCAGAATCACTAGCAAGTACACCTGCAATGAGAGATTCAGCCCAATCTGAATAACATCCTTTCTTTTCTGGGCTAGCACTCTTAAACTCCATTTCCACACATATTCCCCAGGTTTTTGCTGGTGTTAATTAGATGATCTTACAACATGTTTGGTGTGTAAGCCTTTTGCCAGGTCAGATTTTTGTGTATATGGCCCTGGAGCATGAAAAGATTTGGCTCTAGTTATGGGCTCAGAGAGGTGAAGCAACTCGCTGGCAGTCACACAGCTGGCATGTAGCTCCAGAGCCTGGTACTTAACCCTGACACTCTCTCACCTTTGCTTTAAAACAAGCACCCTGCTTAGAACTCCTGAAGGGTTCTTGAGGGTCACGCAGCCCACAACACTGAGGAGGGGAGATGGAAAGGGCCTTGTCAAAAGTCAGAGGTCAAGGACAGAGTCAATCCTGTTTTCTGCTCTGCTCAGTGCCTCCCTGGGCAAGGCCAGACCCTGGGTTCAGAGAAAACTTCCTTTCACCTATGCAGGCTCCCCTCCCCCAGCCCAGGGTTCCCCTGACTTCCTTCCCATCCAGGCTTAGGGAGGGACCAGCATTGACTAGGGTCTCCTTGCCCCCGCAGGGAAGTTCTGGCATGTCTCTGACCTGCACCTTGACCCCAACTACAAGGTATCCGAAGACCCCCTCCAGGTGTGCCCATCTGCCGGCTCCCAGCCGGTGCCCAGCGCGGGCCCCTGGGGCGACTACCTCTGCGATTCTCCCTGGGTCCTCATCAACTCCTCCATCTACGCCATGAAGAAGATTGAGCCGGAGCCAGACTTCATCCTCTGGACTGGGTGAGAGCAGCCACCACAGCTACCCTTCCCCAGGGCTGCCGAGTGTGCCTCCTGCCTGCCTGGCACCTTCCCCACACCATCTCCCTTAGTCCTCACACCAGCCCTGTTGTGGGGAGGACGAACCTAAAGCCCAAAGCTTGTCCAGGGGACCCCAGGCCTGGCTGATTCCAGGGCCTATGTCCTGGACCTCGTGTCTCCCAGCCTCAGCAGAACACGGCTCTCACTGAGGCTGGGGGCACGGTCATGGCATGTCTGGGCATGTGGGGAGTGCCCGGGTTTTAACTCGGGATGAACATTGGTCCCACTCCCACCAGGGTTTAAGGACTCCAAGCCCCGGAGATCTACATGCAGGGAAGGAAGAAGGCAGAAGGGCTGAAGCTGGTCCAGCATTGGGACCAAGTGTCCTGGTCAGCTGTGGACCACCCCTGGGCTGCCCTGGCCCTAGGGGTGCTTCTCACTGGTCAGAGGACAGCTCTGCATGGAGATAGCTTGAGGGGTGATTTCTGCTCGGCTACAGAGATGCCATTTCTGCTGCTCATCCGAGGATGCGGCAGTTAAGTCCTCAGACTTTCCTTGGCACTCAAGGTCCCCCCTTCACTCACTCGCTCCTTCCCTCCCTCCTTTGGTAGGTCAGCCTATCTTGTGCTCACTCCTGGGTAGATATGGGGGAATGGAGATGTCAAAGACCTGGACTTGCCTTCAAAGAGCTCACTGTCTTGTGGATGACACAGACAAGGCCACTGACCATTATAGCCCAGAGAGGAGAACGGGTCACTGGGGGTATGCAGGACCTTCACAGGGCACCTGACTCCATCTGGCAGGACTGGGGAAGACTTTCTGCAGGAAGTGGTGAGCCAGGGAGTGGGTGACAAAGGCTGGCGGGACCTCTGATTTCTGGTGCCCTCTTCCAGCCTCAGTGGACATTTCTGTAAGGCAGGACTAAGCTCACGACGCCCCCAGCCATCCCTCACTGTGACATAGGAGTGACCAGGAGTGACCCTCAAGTGGACTCTGTGGTCGGCAGGGGTAGGAACAAGTCTGAACACTTAAGAAATGTGACAGTGTCTCAGGAGGGGCCCGGGCAGCTCTGTCTTCCCTGGGCTCAGGAATCAATCTGAGAGAGTGAGCTTTAGGCCATGATCCTGGCCTCCTGCTCCTGAGTGGGCTCTTGCTGGTGGGATTGGGGTGGGCAGGGGTGGGCTGTGAATTCTCCGAGAAGAGGCCCTTGGAGAAACGTATGAAATTCTAAAAGACATGATCCCATCCCTCTGGGGAATTCATGATCCTTTAACAGAAGCATGATTTTTCTGAGAAATCTCTGGGACCTTGCAAAGGTGTATGGCATTGGATGAGATGACCTCTAGGACCCTTTATAATTCTTCAATTTCTAAGAAATTTGACCTCTCTGAGGGAATTGCAAGCCCTCGGGGGATAACCTGTAGAAACTGGATGTGTTTTCTATCACACAGAATTAAATCCTCCAAATTAGGAGGAAAACAATGGAACTTTGTCCTGATGTCTTTGGATTCCTGGCCTGTCCCCAGGGAGGACAAGGCTAAAAGGACCCTCTTGCTGCCCTAATGAGGGGATCAGAGAAACAGCAGGACATGGTGGATGTGAGCACAGACTCTGGAGCTGAGCTGACTGTGTTTAAACCGTGGCTCCACGGCTTCCTTGCTGTGTACACTTAGGCAGGATTCTTCACCGTTTCGTGCCTTGTTTTCTTTATCTCTCACGTGGGACCAAAAACAGAACCTATGCTATAGGGCTATTATGAAGAATGAATGAGTGGATATGCAGCAAGTACCTGGCACACAGTAAGCTGGTGTGAGCTGCTGGTAGTGGTATCAGTACTATTAAGCTAATTAACTTCCCTGGGGAGGGGCTGGGCAGGTATCCATCGGAGTCCTCAAGCTCTAGATTGTGGGTGCTCCTACCATCCCCCAAGCCTAACTTCCCCCTTTTTCCTCTACTTTGCTGTGCCTTTCTAAGGTAAGTCCAGGAAACTAGGTCTGTCAACACTGTTGCCGGAAGATCAGCCCCCATCCCTGAAGAGCCAAATTGAAACTCAGAGACAAGGTCTTAGAGCATAGAAGGAATGAGACAGCTTGATTGCTTTGCCAGGTAAAGGGGACTCACAGCGGGCTGGGGCCTTCAAAACTGTGGACCCACCTTGGGGATGGGGTAAGGTGACTATACAGCCATAGCTCAAACAGTAAAGCATTGATAACAATCAGTAGAATCATTTTCTTGTCATAAGACTTAGAGTGGCGTCATGGTGTTTCCAAGCGACCAATTCTATAGAGGCTCGAGGCTGTCACTTTTTCAATCTCTTTATCTCATAAGCGCCCACAGTGTGGTCTTCTTGGTAATTCAGGCTGTTTTGTAAGGTTACAGTTCCATGACCTTCTCCCTGGAGAATGACTCAGAAACCAAGCATGATTACTACTTTCAATTACTGGAATAAAGTAGAAATCGTAAAATTAATAGCTTTAGTTTTAACAATGGGCCTGGAACTGTGAGTAGCAACCGGTTAGTCAGGTTAGTTGACCGTTTTAAGGGCAAGCATTAAAACAAGCAATCTATTAGCCTGAGTGTGGCCATTTTATTAATTCTCCTTCAAAATGGGGGGACTAAATGGTCTTGGTGGGGCAGGTCCTAGACCTGCCATAGAGTAGATATGAATTTTATATTCTGAAGCCAGCTCCAAACTCGTAAGATCCTTTGGGAAAAGGAGCAGAATTCAGACCCGGCTTCTCCACCCCAAGCTCCCTATGGGGCTTGCAGATGGGACTGGAACCCCAGAGCTTCCCTGTCTAGATAACATTAATTGCAACCTAGCAGCTACTACATTTTATATATCCACGTTTCCCCCTTTATTGAAGTGCCACACATACTCTGGGAATAGGTATCATTATTATCCCTACTTTACAGATGAGCTAATGGAAGCTCAGAGAGGTTCAACAACCAGCCCAGGGACCCACAGCAGGTCAGTGGCAGAGCCTGGGTTTGGACTCCGTCCTGTGTGACTCCCAACTCCAGCCTGGTCATTCCCCCTCAGTGGATTTCCGAGGCCCAGTTGCGTAGTCTCTTTTTCTCACGGTAGAGCCGTCCCTTCTTTTCCTTGTGCCTCTTCCTGAGCTGCCCGCACGCAACTGGCCTGGTGCTGTTTTTCAGTGATGACACGCCGCATGTGCCCGATGAAAAGCTGGGAGAGGAGGCCGTGCTGGAAATTGTGGCACGTCTGACTGAGCTCATCAGAGAGGTCTTTCCAGGTAAGACTGTGCCCTGGGTCCCCACAGCGTTCCCTGATGCAAGGGAACTGGGACGGCTGGGCATGCAAAGCCATCTCTGCTCTACCACTCCCACTGCCACTCCAGGAGGGGCCCCAGCTGCTGTCACCATCCCACATCTGTCCCCAAGGCAACCTTTCTGCCACCTTATCCCATCAATGTCAATCAATTTGTGCGAAGAAGTTGCCTGGATGCTGCCAGTCTAGGTAACTCAGCCCAATTCAACCCAACTCGACAGGGTTGTGCTAGTTCATCTTCCAGCAGAAGTCACTACTAGAGTCAAACCAGGACACTCGCCCCCATGGCAACAACAGGTATTGTTATTCCAAGTCTATAGATAAGGAATCTATGGCTTAAAGCTAGTCAGTTCCTAGGGGAGGATTCAAACTCAGATCCAACTCTGAGCATTCTTTTCTCTGCTCCACACGGGGCTTCAGGAATAAAAGTGAAATAATGGGGAAGAAAATGCTTTATCACTATGATTTAACACACAAATGTAAATTATAATTATGATTTCACTGTTCATAACACACTTACATGCTTTATTTATTTATAAATAAGCAGTATTTTGTTTTATTTTTTATGATCTTTTTACTTCTAGCATATTACTTTTTTAAAATCTGTACTGATGGAAGTTTTATTTCAAAATGTAATAAAATTCTTCAATAGACAGGGTAAAATAAGATTTGTTTTGTTTTACTCCCCACCCCTCAAACCCCCAGCCAAATGAAGTGGTTTTTAGGTTTTTTGGGGGGGTGGAGGGAGGTAATTAGGTTTATTTAATTATTTCTTTAATAGAGGTACTGGGGATCAAACACAGGACCTCATGCATGCTAAACATACACTCTGTCACTGAACTATACCCTCCCTTCGATCACATGTATTGAATTTCCTAAATCCAAGATACCATTGACTGTAAGATGCTTCCATTATTTTATGTATCGCTAAGGGAAAAAAATGTTGTCCATTAAAGTATGACATAGCACTTTCTCGTGGCCTCAGTAGGAAGACATGCTCCACCTGGAGAGATGTTAAAATAAGAACAAATTGGAAGAAGTGAAATGAAGTATTATCTTATTTGAGAAGGGTAACAACACAGGTCAAGCAGAACACTCCCCCTTAAATAGATAACTAAGCTGAAGTAACTTGTTGGAGAGGAAGAAGCAACTGAAATTTGAGATTCTGAATTCCATGTCAAGTGTTCTTCCTGCCACGTGCCTCCTGTGTTCCCCACCAGAGTCACCGTGAACACCGACCCCTGCCTCTCTACCATGGCTGATGGTGAACTCAGGTGTGCAAGGCAAACCCATCCAGGTCCCAATTCAGGCTCTGCCACGCTCTGGCTCGGCAGTCCCCTGGACGTTCTGTGTTCTCTTGGTGCAAAATGAGGAAAGTAGTGTTACCTGCCCAGAGGGCTGTCATGAGGATTAAATAAGGTAATCCATTCACTCATGTAGTCAGGCAATAAATATTTATTGAGCGTCTACCATGGGTGAGACACAATTCCAGGGATAGGGAACTTGGCTGTGAACAAGATGCCAGGTTGTACCCTCATGGTGCACATGCCTGTAAGGAGCTTGAAACAGTGACTGGCACAGAGAAACAGCAAAAACCTGCTACCTGGAAGGAAACTGGGTTCACCTCTTGGTGGGTGTCAAGCCAAAAGACACAACCACGCCAAAGATCAGGAGAAGGAAGAGTTTGTTACTTACGGCAAGTAAGGAGAGCACCTGGCATCTTTCCCAAAGCAGTGTCTCCCCGAATGGTAATATTGGGGAAATTTTAAACTAAGAGCATGTGCATATTCAAGAAGGGGCGTGGTATATGAATACTCATGAAGAGGCTTGAGCAGAATTCAGCATATAATTGGGGCAAAGGTCTACAGAATCCAAGCTTTAGATGACTGAAGTCACAAGGGTCAGAAGAGGTCAACATCATCATCCCTTAGGTTCCACTTGATCTGGTGGTTGACTGCTCCAGGAGGTTTTAAATTTTGCAAAACAGCTCAAGAAAGTGCTTCAGGCTAATCTTTACTGAAGAAACAGAACTGGGAGTCTTTACAACGGATTTATTACCTTTGCTATTGTCACTTCTCTTGCCTGATAACAGTTTTATTCTTTGTTCTCTTAAAACCGTTATTACTGAGACCTGTTCAAGGGCAAGCATTGTGGCCAAGCTTAGATCTCCAAATGGCTTGGGCCAAAAATGGCTTCTCTTACATCAAGAAAGCCATACCTGCTTCTCTTTTTCCAGGGACTCCCCCTACCTTCTCTGCTTACAAACCCGGAGAGATTCCTTGCCTTCTCAGCTGCCTTTGGGATTCCAGGGATTTGTGTTTCCTCTTAAATGGGTTCTTCTGGCTGCGTGCCTCTCTCATGTGAGAGAGATGAGTTTCTCCCAGGTGGTTACAGTCATGACTTCTAGCTTTGTGGATAATTCCTGATGGGATTTCTATGACCTCCTCCTTTGGCAGAGCTCAGCATCTCCAGATCCTGAGGGCTATACCTGAAGCAGCAGGACCCTGTGGGGTCCTCCTTGTGCATTTGAATAACTTATCCTTTTACCCTAGAGGCCTTGAAAGAAGGTCATGGACTGATAACCTCAAGAAAATGGGCAGACCCTCCTAAGTTCCTCCATAACGACATCAAATTCTTACCAGGAATGTAGCCCTTGCTCACACCCTGATTGTTATCACCCTCCTGTTCCCACTTTTTTCTATAAAACCCCTGGACACTTACCCCAGGAGGGGCTCACAGTCTTTAAGGCATGAGTCTGCTGTGACTGCCTCTGCCTGGCAAAGCAATAACGCTGTTCTTTTCTAATTCTCCCAAAACTCTGCCTGCAAGTCTCCATTCAGCTATCGGAATACAGAGGCTGGTTTTTTGGCAACATACAGGGTAAAGGGTTTGTTAGAAGCACTTTCCCAAGTGGGAATCGGAGGTGCCAGCCTCTCTTATTGGTTCAAGGTCACCCCCTGGGGTAAGCCAAGCTCATATAAGGGCAAGGTCCTGCCTTGAACTCAGAGTTTTTATTTATCATCAAATATTTATTGAGCAACCACCTACAGGCCAGACACAAAATGAAAGCAGGAATGAGGCTACTCACAAGGAGGAAATGAGTCTGATGGGCTTCCCTCTCCCCCTTGGGTTCACTTCCTCATGAAGGCCCCCCGCCCCGGGCCCCCACTGCTACCCCTTCTATACACTCCCGCAGTGAGCGGCTCTTCCATTTTTGTGACAGCTATTACTCTGTACCTGTCAACCCTACTGCACTGCAAGGCCTCTGGGCCTGGGGCTGGGTGCCTGGTTCCCAGGTCTGCACGCTGGCATGTACTAGGTGCTCAATAAATATTTGTTGACTCGTGAATGAGTGAAACTCCTAAGGCCTTCCAGAGTGACGCAGACCCCTTCCCTAACAGTAGGATGGATCTGGAATTGACTAGAACAAGAAACACTAAATTACGAAGTGGCTGATGACGGATCTGAAGAGTATTTAGATCTTCTAGGTTTCTCCTCCTCATCTCATGCTTCATTTCTGACTAGGGAACTTTCTGCTGGAAATGGCGTTTAAGAAGTCACGGCTCTTCCTCCCTAGATGTGAGCAAAGTTCTGCCAGACCCTATGATGCGGTTTCCTGCTTATCTCTGTATTTTCTGTATTTTCCTTATCTGAGCTATAGCTCTTCCTTAGGTCTGATAGCAAGTGGCTGAAAATGATTAACTCTACCAAGTGCTTTTGCATGTGTATTTTTGTATTTCTCTTTTTCCTCCCAGATACAAAAGTCTATGCTGCTTTGGGAAATCATGACTTTCATCCCAAAAACCAGCTCCCAGCCAGGAGCAACAATATCTACAATCAGGTAGCAGAGCTCTGGAGACCCTGGCTCAGTAACGAATCCATCGCTCTCTTCAAAGAAGGTACTAACACCATTTGCTACTATAAGGAACACTTTATGCCAAGGTCTGATCTAATTTCACCTTCACAACATCCCCATGAAACAGGGATTGATTTTATCCCCATTTTACAGGTAAGGAGACTGAGGCTTGAAGATACCAAGTCACTTGGCCAAGGTCACCCAGCTTAGAAGAGGCAGCCTTGAGAGCAGAATCCAGGGCTGATTCCAGTGTTCATGCTCTCAACCCCACAGCACTAATGAGGATCATAACTGAATATTCATTATTTCCTGTGTGCCAGGCACTGGTCTCAGCACATTGCCAGACTCCTCGGAACAACCCTAGGAAGAGGCAGTGACTTCAGTTAAGGCTGGTTTCTCAACCTTGCCACAACTGACATTTGGGCTGGCTAATTCTTCATGGTGGGGGCTGTCCCGTGCATTGTGGGACGTTTAGCAGCATCCCTGGCTTTTACCCACTTGTTGCTAGTAACCTCCAAGTTATGAAAACCAAAAATGTCTCCGAACATTGCCAAATGTTCCGTCGGGGACAAAATCACCAGGTTGAGGACCATTAGGAGATACAGCATCCCAAGGTGATCTGACCTCTTTTCCTTCCTTTCCTCCATCCCCTGCTGCTGGAGCTCCCTGTTGTTCAAACCCAAGAAACTCGGAGTGCAGAAGCCCACTGATTTAGTCCATAGCTCCTGGGGCAGAGAGCTGAGTGGAGAAGGGCTGACTGTGGATCTGGAGGGGCAAACACACCTCAGTGTTATTCTCACTACACAGAGGAGGAAACTGAGGCATAGAGAGGTTAAGGTAACTTTCCCGAGATGCACAGCTAGTAAGTGATAGAGCCAGGACTTGAACCCAGGCAGCCTGGCTCTGGGGCCTTTGGTCTTAACCACGATGCCCCTCCTGTGGGAAAGATGGGAAGGAGAAGGTGGGCAACTGAAGTGGAGGGGGACAGAGGTGTGTCTGCTCGGAGGCAGGGGACACCTTCAGATTCTCCCTGGCTGTGATGTCCTAGGTGCCTTTTATTCTGAGAAACTGCTGGGGCCGAGTGGGGCTGGGCGAATTGTGGTCCTCAACACCAATCTGTACTATAGCAACAATGAGCAGACAGCCGGTATAGCCGACCCCGGCCAGCAGTTCCAGTGGCTGGAAGATGTGCTGACTGATGCGTCCCGAGCAGGGGAAATGGTAAGGCCTCCCCACTCCTCCTCCTCCCTCTTTGGGGTCAGTTCCTGAACAAATCTACCACTTTGGCACAGACTCACTCCAGACGCCCACATCACAGAAAGTTTTTTCTCAGCCCAGCACTGGGGTGGGGGAGGGCTCGTCCATCCTCACAACAGCCTGTGAGGCTAGGACCCTGGAGCCCATTGCCGATGTGAGGGTCTCAAGTCCCACAATAAGTGGTGGAGCCAAGACTAGCACCCTGGTCTCCAAACTCCAAGTCCAGTGCTCTTTCCACAGCCGCCATACACCACAGCTGCAGCCCACACTGTGGGCGAGAACTCAAGGGGATGCCCTGCCCTTGGGGTGTGTCCATGTCATTTGATGGGCTGGCAGCCCCCTGGGGATTAGCCCTGGGTCTCATTTGCTTGAGTCCCTGCTCTGACCAGCTCATCCCAGCAGGATTTCATAGCTGGTGCTTTTGAGGCCAGACTATACATCAGATATGTTAAGTGTTTTGTGTGGATTATCTCATTTAACTCTCAAAACTCCCTCAGTTAGGTGTCATTCCTGATGAGAAAACTGAAGCTCTGAGAGGTGACACACAGCTGGGGTCCAACTGCAGTTTGACTCCAAAGCTCGTGTTCTAATAATTGCCCTCCGTTCCACCCCTCATTCTGTCTCTTGCAATGGGGGCCAAGGGCCCAGGAACTGTTAGCTGAGTGACTCAAGAAACATAAGATGTATGTTACCACATAGCATATGCTACACAATGGCACGAGGAAGGTTTGGCTCCAGGGCCTGAGCGGTCTAAGAGAAGACTCGTCTCTGAAGGATCAGGGAGCTTTCATGAGGAGGTGCCCTTTGAGCTAGGTTTTAATTTACCGAAGTGGGAATGAGGATGCTCTGGGTAGCAGGCAGAGTGTGGGCAAAGGCAGAGGTGGGGAAACATGCGGTACATTCATTGCTGGTCCAGAGAGAGTGCTGGAATCTGCCTGGGAGGGGGATGAGGGAGGCGGTACCTTTGAACCCACCAGCCGGCCTTTGGGGAGATGGGCAGGTTGTGAGAGGTGGAAATGACGGGGTGAGGAAGGCGTCTCTGAGCCTCTGCGGGGCACCCCTTCCTCGTAGGTGTACATTATTGGTCACGTGCCCCCGGGGTTCTTTGAGAAGACTCGGAACAAAGCATGGTTCCGGGAGGGCTTCAATGAGGAGTACCTGAAGGTGGTCCGGAAGCACCACCAAGTCATCGCGGGGCAGTTCTTTGGGCACCACCACACCGACAGCTTTCGGATGTTCTACAATGATGCAGGTACCTACCCTGGAGGACCATGGCCAGCCCACCTCCCTCCTGTCTCCAGCCTCTCAATTCTGCTGTCTGTCTCCCGAAAGGTGCCCCCATCAGTGTCATGTTCCTTACACCTGGGGTCACTCCATGGAAAACCACCTTGCCTGGAGTGGTCAACGGAGCCAACAATCCAGGCATCCGGCTGTTTGAATATGACCGAGACACACTGAACCTGCAGGTCAGGAGCCCTGAGGTTGCTGGGGCCAGGGGAGGAGGGAGGGGAGAACTGAATGCATCACCACCTTCCCTAACTCTTTCCTAGCTAATCCATCCTCTATTAACCACTGAGCCTCAGGAAGGTCAAGTTACTTCCACACTTCTAGAGCTCAGGATCAGAACCCTGGATCTACCTCCGCATCCTGCCACCAAGTCAGGTCACTTCTTCCCCAAATCTCCTTTTGCCCAGGACCACTGTCAAGGCTGCCTACCTGGTCTTGCCTCCAGTATTGCCCTGCTGTAGCTCATCTGCTGCACACTGCAGAAGGGATTATCTTTCTAAAGCACTTCTTACCTCTCTCTTGCTCAAAAACCTTCAATGGCTCCCCAGTGCCCCCAAGATAAATTGGATCTCTTTGGCCTGGTATTCAAGATCTCTCACAGTGTGATCTCAGGCCCATTGCTCATGTCTTCTCTATATCGACTGGGCCGCAGCCAAGCAGGCCTCTAACTCAATGAGCAATCCTACACCTCCTGGGATGTGCTTGTGATTGTTGAAATGATAAAGAAATATTATGCCTTAACGTTTTCAACAAAATGTGTTAAACATCTGCCATGTGCCAGGCCCTGTGCTAAGCTCAGGAGATACAGAAGTGAACAAAAGTCACCTCTCTTCTGGAGCCGAGATTCTTACAGGAGACAGACAAGAAAAAAATGCATAAAGTTAAGTGTGGCATGAAATAAGTGCTAAGGAGAAAAGAAAACAGAGTGAGGAGGCAGGTGGTGAGAGTTATGGGGTGTGTGTGTGTGTGTGCACGCGCACGTGTGCTGTTAGGTGGGGCAAGGAAGCATCACTGATAGGGTGACATCTGAATTCTGAGTAAATTCAGGGAACCAGCCATATGAGCATCTGGGGAACGAGGAGGAAAAGCAAGTCAGAGGCCCGGGGTGGGGATGTGTCTGGTGTGTTAGGGGAAGGAGGCCCGTGTGGCCACAGTGGAAGTCACGAGGGATGGGTGGGTGGAAGGGGTGTCAGTTCATGTAGGCCATGAGTAGGACTCTGGAATTTTACAAAATCTCCATTCTGCTGGGTGGAGAACAGGCTCTTGGGGGCAACGGCAGAAACAGGGGGGTCATTTAGGAGGTGACCACAACCACTGAGAGGGGATGGTGGCATGGACCAGGGTGGCAGCGATGGGTGGTGAGGACAGCCAGATCCTGGATCTATTTTGAAGGCACAGCAGACAGGATTTGCTGGTGGATTGGATAACGGTGTAAGAAAAAGAGAGGAGGCAAGGAAGACCTCAAGGCTTTGGATGGAATGCCTGGAAGGATGAGGTTGCTACTTACAGAAGGAATTGTTGCCGATAGGTGCAACTGGTGTTCCAGGTTCTTGTCCCGTCCCAGAAAGAATTCAGAGATAAGACTTAGAGATTAAAAAGGTAAAGTGAGGATTTATTAAAGGATGGATAGTACACTCTCAGGGGAGAGCGGGCAGGCTCAGGTGAGCAGCTGCCCTGAGTTTCTTTGGCAAGTTAGTTACATAGGGTGTAAAAATGAATAGGCGGAATATTCACCGGGGAGGGAAGGGTTTGGGGTCGTATTCCCTGATTATCATCCCACCTCCACCTTCCCAAAGGGAGGAGGGATTTTTGTCCTTATTTAGTCTGGATCGTAAGTGTCATGGCGTTGGTGCATGATGGGTACTTCTGATCTGCAAGGCTAATTTTATTGAAATGAGGGCATAATAAGAAAAAGGTTACATTCAGACACTGGAAATTCCTGCCTTTTCTGACCTTTCTTTGTTGGTCTCCAAGCCAAAAGGTGTGGCCCCTTATCAGCCCAAAGATTCCAGCTTTTCTTTCTCTGTCCAAGGATCCCTGCTGCTCACATGATGTGCAGTTTTCTGCATTTGGCCTGAGCCCCTCCTTTCTAATTCCTGCCATTTGGTCTGTGTCCCCCTTTCTCTGCTCATATCTAGCTATCTGCCTGCTCTAACAGAATCACTGCAGGAGGAGTGGATTTCAGAGCGAAGATCAGAAGACTTTCCTGTTCACTTTGGGATGTCTGAATGGCATCCAAGTGAAAATGCTGAGGGAGGAGGCAGTTGGGTGTTCAAGTTGGAGTTCTAGGAAGATGTGGGCATAAAGATTTAATCTGGGAGTTGAGAAAGGACATTTAAACCAGGGACTGCTGGAGATATCCTAGGTCCCTGACTCTAGAGTAAATGTAGATGGAGAAGAATTCTGAGGATTTTTAAGAGCATGGTCTGTTGTTTACATGGGCTGGTGGATCACAGGCTCTGGGGAAGACTCAATGAAATAATAGAATGTTCCTGGCAGGTAGCTGTTATCCATACATGGCAGATCCCCCAATTCCCCCTCTCCTGATCTGAAGCAGATGCATAAATTTAAGTGGAAAATGTTGGACAGATAAACTCCCTCCAGATTCTAGTCCTAAAAATGCACCTGAGTCCTAGAGGGCTTCAACCACAATTCTCCAACCTCTCTCAGCTAGGTACTCCATCCCACTACTTTTAAGTAGCTTTTTATCCATTCACTCGCTAAATATTTATTGAGAATCTTCTGTGTACCCAGAATCTTGCTGGAACAAAATGCACAGGCCATGGGGTAAGCAACCTGGGTTCCAATCCTGCCTCAGCCACTGAACACCCGTGGGACCCTGGCCAAATGAATTAACCTCTTTAGGACTAAGTTTCCTCATCTGTGAAATGGGAATAACTGCAGTTACCTCATCAGATTCAATCAGAGGATGTCTGCCAAGCATACCCCGACAGTAGTAAATGCTCGATAACTAACAGGGGTCATGATGACGGCTGTTTAGACTCTGGTGGCAAATACAGGCTGGAGGACTGGGGGCAGAAGGGAGCAGCTGCTCACGGCCCGCCCGCCTCGCGCCCCCTCTGCAGGATATGGTGACGTACTTCTTGAACCTGAGCCAGGCGAACGCGCAGGGGGCGCCGCGCTGGGAGCTCGAGTACCGGCTGACGGAGGC